GAAGACAGAATATCTTGCTACTTTTCTAACAATATCTTCAACATCTGGGAGAGGATAGGCATCTAAGTAAGTAAATTTATTAATTGTTTGTGAATAATCTACCACCATTCGCTTTTTGTGTGTTTCACTTTTTGTAATAAGTACTTGTGCACGCCAAGGAGAGTTGCTTTCTTCTATGATTCCATTCGATAGCAGATACTGTATCTCGTCAGATATGAATTTTCTATCTTCAGTTGAAAATTTTCTTGATTTAGTTGCCCTCGGTTTGCAATCATTTGATAGATTGGAGAATAATTTGGGTGGCTCTATATTTAAGTATGCCAAACTACAAATGTTATCTATATGATCAATAACTAAAGGCATTTTTGAGCCAGCAAAAGTGATTTCTAGAGAAGAATGTTGTTTAAGCAAGTCATGACCTATAACTACATCAGCACATAAATCTTGAATTATTGATAATTTGACATTTTTATATGAATGTTCGTTTATTTCTAAATTAACAAAGCAGTGTCCTGAGATAGTCGTTCTGAGTGCTGTTGAAGCCATTATTATGCTTGCATGACTTCTAAATGTTTTCACGTTTATAGACAATGCATAATTCTTACTGATATATGACTCAGAACTACCTGTGTCTATTAAACTTTCAGCTGTATTTCCATTCACCTTTATCTCAGTAACACTTTTAGATAAGCATTGAGGGGCAGCAGCAAGATTTCTAACATTCGAACTAGATGTAGTAGTAGCTAAAACAGCAGCTGATACTGAATTGGGCATCTGAAGCCTACATACCTTGGAAAAATGTCCAACTTTCGAGCATTTCTTACAAACTTTGTCTCTAGCAGGGCATAGGCTACGAGGATGCCTTTCAGTTGATCCACAAAAGTAACATTTCCAACTTTTCACAGCAGCAGAAGTATAATTAGTGTGCTCTCTGGTTTCAGAAGAAATTGCATTAATAATTTGTACAGGAGTTGTATAAGCCTCAGAGTGTTTTGAAGCTGACTCCAGAGACTGGGCTTTTACTATGGCATCTTGCAGAGTAATAGTGTTGTTTTCTAGTAAACGTTGTCTTATGTCATTAGAAAGAATGCCATTAATAAAAGAGTCTCTTATATAATCTTCTCTATTTTGGTCTGCAGAAACGGCTAGAAAATTACAGTCTTTGGAAAGCACTTTAAGATGTTGAACGTATTGACCTATATTTTCACCAGTTTGTTGTTTTTTTGTCATTAGGATATGTCTGGCAAAAATTTCATTTTTGGGTTTAACAAAAGCTGCTTCAAGAATACTTTTGGCTTCAGAATACTTTCTACAATCAGAGATGAGTTCATAGATATTGTTGCTCACGTAATTTACCAGTAGTTTGAATTTCTCCTCCTCTGAAACATCAATCACAGAGGAAATAAAGTTTTCAAAGGTAGCTTTCCAATGCATCCATTCTTGAGACGATCTAGGAGAGTTAGGATCAGCATCGAATCTGTCTGGTCGTAGTAGCTTATCCATATTTGATATTTCTTGTATATTAAATTGTAATGAAATGCAAAACCTTTATAAACTAGGTTTTAATATACAAGAAATTAGCATTGTTTTGTTTGAATGAATAACATGACAATTACATACAGTGTTCCCAAACGTAAAAAAATAAAATCGGTAGAATTCTTTTAAAAAATCGGTACATTGTGGAGTAAAATCGGTAGATCTTTCAAAATATAATATTTTGTTTAAATTTCATAATGTTTTGCAATTCGTTTAATTAAGAAAAAAATAAAATTTGTTTATTCGTTTAAATCTAATAAAATAAAAAAATGAGAACCGAGATACTGAACTTAAAACGAGAAGGTTGGCACTACTGGCATATTGGCACTTGGCTTGCAGTAACATTTAACAGTAACGAAGCAGGAAATACAAGGCTTCTTCAAAACAATCAACACTTAGTAAAATATTTTATACACTGTAAGGTACATATTATATACCACATATTTATATTATTAAGGTCTGGATTCTACTAAGTACCTATAGACTACTATATTGTATAAAAGTAGACGAGAGAAAAAAAGAGGCCTTAAAAACTTAATTTGTCATGTTCATTTTAAACCACATAATATAATTCTCAAATCAAATAATATAATCTCAAACTAAATGAAACATTGAAATAACAGTAAAATAAATAAAAAACTGTTGTAATAAGTAACAGAAAATATTAGATCTTAAACAAATCAGACACTTATTCTCTAAAACAGTCAACACTTATTAAGAAAAAAAATATATAAATATAAACTCAAACTGATTAAAATCTAAACTCTTAACGAATTAATTCCTATAAAGATGATTATAACTGACTTAAATTTAAATCTTTAAATGAGTCTGTGACTAGGAATCGAATACTTATCCGAGAACAGAAACCTCGAGTACCTATAAAATCCTTTTATAATTTGTAAAGTACCGCTTAGGTACCATTTAAGAATAAAAAATATTTGAATGTTTTCACACGTTTTAGTGAATACACAAAAATGCTCAATGCAAATTACAGGTATTGCAAGAAAAATTGTTTTGTCTCTTACATATTTCTTCTCAAATTTAAGAATAAGTAAAAATTTCTATCTGAATATAAAATTCGGTACAATTTAAGCCTTTTTCGGTACATCGGTAGAAAAACGGCGAAATCGGTACATCTACCGATTTATCGGTAGGTTTGGGAACACTGATTACATATGACATTAACTAAAACTAAGATGACAAATGACAAACACAGTTCACAGACCACAGGACAATGATATATTTCCCAAATTTGTTTTTGTTTATCAGCATCTAACTCTATTTCATTGTTTTCATCAGTTAGTATTGACAGGTGTTTGGGTTTCCACAGAGACCTCTTTAATTTTCTTATGTAATTCTGTCTTTATGTGGAACTTGGAGTTCCTCTAAATCCTTACATCTATCCCCTAACTATATCTCCTTTGTATATTTTTTAATTCGTTGGTCTATTTGCTTGTATGTATTTACCTATGTCTTTATTTTGGTTATTATTACCATTACAAATTTACTTAATAGTTTTAATATGAGCATGCTGGTTACCGATCCAACCAGAAATAACAGCATATTAGATTATATTTGTACTAATTTACATCCAGACCTAGCTGTGTGCAGATAGATTCCCTATTTTTTATCAGATCATGATCCCATTTTATTTGAATTTCCCCTTAAGAATCCACCTTATACTGCCAGATGGGGTAGGATTTTCAGCAAAAGTAATTTTGACAGGTTTATCAAATTATGTAATCAGGAAGATTGGAATAATATTTTTTGCTCTCCTGATTTGCTTCATCAATTTCATCACACTCTCATGAAGATTTTCAATTTAGCATTTCAAGAAAGAGTTCTTAAATCAAAAAGTAAGAAAACTTGGGTTACTAAAGGAATTAGAATTTCCTGCAAAAACTTAAGATCGTTAAATTACATTAAAAAACATATAATATGCAATGATGAATTTTTGATATATTTCTATAAATATAGGTCCATATATAGGAAAGTAAGTAAATATGAGCGCTACTCTAGTAATATCTTTATTAATTGAGGAGTACCTCAAGGCTTTGTCTTGGGTCCTATCTTTTTCTTGATATATTTTAACGATATAATTAAACTCGACATTAATGGCCGGTTTACTATATTTGCAGATGACACCACAATTTTATGGCAAAACAAGGACTCTACAGTACTGAATAAGACTATTAGTAGTGACATGCAAAAAATTTTAGAATGGTGCAAAGCTAATCATTTGACATTTAATTTTTCAAAAACTAAATTAATTTCTTTTAAGAATGATCTAAACAACATTACTCTGGGCAATGAAGGCATTTGTTCTGATACTGTAAACAAATTTTTAGGTCTCTATATTGATAATAAACTTAAATTTGAGCAACACACTGTATATTTAAGCAAAAAGATATCATCGGGTTGCTTTGCGGTCAAATCAGTTGCTCACCATTTAGATTTCAAGATTGCAAAAAGTGTTTATGTGGCCCTGATTGAATCTAATTTGAGATACGGTATTGCCTTTTGGGGTAGCTGTTCTCTTCATCATTTCAGTAGAAACTTTATGCTACAAAAGAGAGCACTCAGATATTTATGCAAGGTCAAGTTTGGTACATCATGCAGGCCTCTGTTCCGGAAACATGGTATCTTGACACTTCCTTGCATATATATCCTTGAATTAGCGTGCTTAATTTTTAAAAAACATAAAGAGGATATTCGGACAGTTTCCCTTATAATACTCGTCTAAATTATGTTATTCCACTTCCAATTCTCTCTTCTACATTAACTAAAAAATCATTTATTTACACTGGTAAGAAAGTGTTTAATCACCTACCACTCGATATAAGATCCTCAAGCAATATTTTTGTATTCCGAAGAGCAATCAAGAAGTTTTTATTATCTAAATGTTACTACAGTATAGAGGAATTTTTTGAGGACAGTTGCGCTAATTGATATATATTTTTTAATTATGGAAATTTTATAATTAGTATTTTAATATATCTTGTACCTTGTTTGTACTATACCATGTTGTGTTTTATAAATGTAATCTCATTTTAAAAACAATAAACTTCTCTCTCTCTCTCTCTCTCTCTCACTCTCACTCTCTCTCTCACTCTCACTCTCTCTCTCTCTCTTTCTCTCTCTCTCTCTCTCTCTCTCTCTCTCTCTCTCTCTCTCTCTCTCTCTCTCTCTCTCTCTCTCTCTCTCTATTGGTCTGGCCTCCATCAAATCTAGGATGTCATCGGTCATCCAGGTTAAGTTGGATTAATGGATAGATACTTGTGATACTTGGAATTGTTATTTATTATAATAAAATAAAACAAATTATTTTTAAAATATTAATTTAATAGCCCAGTTTAAAATATCTTACATGTTTATCTAGTATATAAATATATAAATATACAATACAGAATAATTTTTTGCTCATGGCACTTTCTTCTTAGTTTTTGGCTGCTATTGTAAAATTCTTATGGTGAAACAACCTGAAAATAGATATATTTAAGATTAAGCCATTATTCTTTTTTAATAGTTTTTTAAAATCTTTTAATTAAAAATAAATCGAACACCTATTGGTTGATCCGACTTTCAATAAAGTTATTTATCTTCTACAACAAATAAATATAAAATTTAAGACTTTAGCGCCATCTAGAGGATAGATCATATTGTAAATTTGTATGCATGGTTTTTTTCAGATTTTCAATTGGAAATTGGAATCAAATTACATAGGTTTCTTATTGCAAAATTCTGTTTCAGAACCAGAAAAGTAGGAACCAAATACAATAGAGCGTCGATTATCAGATCTCAACGTTGATCAACTGGACGACCCCTTATCTGAAATCCCGACAAAAAGCGAGCATAAGTAACTTTTTGTCCCAGCTTGATTCTTCTGATGGATCCACATGTCACAAAACGATGAAACTTGCCTCAAACACGGATTTAGATGATTCTCTATATAAGTGGTTTACTCAAAAAATATTTCAGGGAGAACCTATTTCTGATCTGATCCTTTGAAAAAGCAGTTTAATTCAACGAAAAGCTCGGAGGGCTATCAAATTTTCAAGCAGTCACAGGCTGGTTAAAACGATTTAAATCGAAACATAGCATTCGTGAGCTTCAAATATAAGGATAAAAACTGTGCTGATTCATTAGCAGCAGATTAATTCTAAATTCAATTAAGAGAGTTATGGAAGGAAGATAATTACGGCCTCCAAAATGTTAACTTTGCAGACGAAACTGAGCTCAACTTGAAAATTTTGCCACGAAAAACTCCTGGTATCCAGACTTTTAGGTCCAGCAGCTGGACCTAAAATAAATAAGGATCATATCACTGCCTTAGCTTGTGCTAATGCGACTATTGTCCATGCTTGTCATTGATAAATGCAAATAACCACGTTTTAAACACTTATGCCTATCTTTTACGCAAAAGGGTGCTTGTATGAATAGTACAATTTCCATGAAATGGTTTGTAGAAAGCTTTGTAACCCTCTGTTAGAGCCCATCAATTAAAAAATGGCAAATGAGAGAAAATATTGCTTCTTGATTACTGCCCCACTAATCGATGTTAGAATGAAAAATACCAATCCTTAAAAAACTACATGATCTAGACGCTCATAAACGGGTAGACTTGCTTCGGCAGACAAAAATTGAAGATTTTTTTAAGAGTTAGTAATTTTTCACTTACAAAATCTTCAATTTTGTATCCAGAATGTTTTTTTGCAAAGACTGCAGTTTTTTGTCTAATTCCTATTTTTTATTAAAGATATAAATACATATTTGTATGTAAATATGGTTTTTATTCACCTGTAGATAACTAGATATATATATGGCTATTTCAATACAGTTCGATTATACGAAACAACCGATTTTCCGAACATACATATCCCCAATTAGTTCGGAAAATCGACGCTTTACTGTAACATCAATAGTCTTCGTCAAATATTCGCAACTAAAAGTAAAGCATAACATTTTCTGATAGAGTTTTGAAAAAAAAACATTTCTATTTTTTGTTCATATTGGTTTTTTCAATTAAATTTGTTATGTTATGACGTATGTATCATTACTGTAGTCCTAAAGTGCTAAATAAAGAGTATTAACTTACTATTAACAAATGGCCACTTTTATCTTTGTGGATCTTGGGGGCATCTCCATGTTGAATGTCAATTGTACCTTGTTTTCCTTTCATATTATGTTCAATACTGAAAAATAGACAAATGAGTATGAATAAAACTTTTTGAGTATCTATAATATACTTACTGTGATTGGGCGATTATTTTCAAGACAGTTTTATCTTTTAAGGTGTCCATAACATAGGTCAAGGCTTCTATTAAGTTGGGCACTTCTAAAATTAAGTCTCCCTAAAAAAAAAAACAATTATATTTATTTGTGAAAAATGTACATTAATATGCATTTAGTTTTAACTTTTTTTGACAAAAAAAAACAAAGCAATAAAACATAATTTTTTCATGAACCGAACCTTTCCGTTAATTAGCTGCAGTATATAGAAAAACTTTTGTATCATTCCTCTAAAACAGTGTTTCCCAAAGTGGGGGGTCGCGACCCCGTGGGAGGTCGCCATGAGGTACTAGGGGGGTCGCCGAACATTTCCAAAATAAGACAAAAGCACCACTTTGTTAGATCATGTATTTTTATTTTAACAACGCCGTAAATAGAAATTAACAATTAATTATCAAACGAAATATAAAAAAACAATAAAAGAGTAAAACAAAGTCAAATATTATAATCTTAATGAGAGCTATGCGCCTGTTTCTGTGAAACTAATCTTTCAAATCTAGGCTGTGTATTTGAGACACACACAATTATATCATTTTCAAGTACGAGACGATTTCTAACTCTTGTTTTAATGGCAGTCATAGACGAGAAACTTAACTAACATAAATATGATGTTACAAATGGAAGCAAACATTTTACAGATTCACTCGCCAACTGGGAGTATTCCTGCATCTTTTCGGTCCAAAATTGGTCCGAGTTCTGGGAAAAAATTGGAGCTTCAACATTCCATCACTTGATATTTCATTAAGTTTTTCTTTAATGTTTATTGGTATTTCAACATGCTGAAAGGAATCGGCTAAAAACCGGTAACTGTTTTGAATTTCTTCGGGGAAATAATCACAGAGCTGTTGTTTTAAATTGAGCAAAGTAACATGCAGGTCAGCAAAAACTTGTTCAAAATTTGTAGCACTGTAATTGGATACATTTTCCATAATTTCCTGAAGACACTGAAATGAATCGAGTTGTTTTTTGCCAAGTGAGGTCGACCATAAATCGATTTTTCTTAGAAACGCCTTAATATAATGTAATGTGGCTGTAATTATATTAATGTCGCGACCTTGTAAATTACTGTTCAAAATATTTAATTGCTCGAAAATATCAGCAAGGAAACCTAGTTTCAGAAGCCAAATAGGATCGGAAAATTGATTTTCATATGGGGACTTCTCATCTTTCAAATACATTAAAAGCTCTACTCTTAAGTGAAATACTCTTTTTAAGACATTGCCCCTTGAAAGCCACCTGACTTCGGTATGATAGAGAAGATTTTCAAATAAAGCACTTATGTTCTCGAAATTTTTTCTAAAAATACGGGTCTGCAAAGCTTTTCCTTTAATGGAATTTGCAACTTTAATGATGGTTTTCATAACACAGTCCATTTCAGGAGGTAAAGCTTTGGACGCAAGAGCTTCTCGATGTAAAAAACAATGTCTCTATTTGGCATTATTTCTTGTAATTTGACGTCAAGACCAGATTTATGTCCTGTCATAGCTTTAGCGCCATCTGTGCATATAGCAATACATTTACCCCAGTCAATATCATATTTACTTGTACGTTTCACAAAAGTGTCGAGTAAACATTTTCCAGTGGTATTGGTCTCCAATGGAGAACAAAATAAAATATCTTCTTGAATGCCATTATTTGTATCATATATCTTAAAAACGTAATGAATTGGGCACAGTTAGATATATCTGTGGATTCGTCCAATTGAAGAGAGAAGTACGTGCATTTATTTAGATTTTCCACAACTTGCGCTTGAATATCTTCTGCCATATCACTAATTCTTCTTTGGATAGTAATATTTGACAGAGGTGTTGTATTTAATTTTGCAGCCTCTCTTTCCCCACACATTATATGTACCATTTCAACAGCTGCTGGAAAAATCAGATTTTCAGCAATTGTGTGCGGATTACTAGTTTTGGCAACACGATAAGCAACTTTATAACTTGCTAATAATGCTTTTTCATTAGTAGTGGTTGCCAAGGGAAAACTGTCTTGCTGTTTGTGAAGGACGTTCAGCTTTCTTTCAAAGAATTCTACGGGCTTGTCTTTTTTATCTGCATGTTTGCTATTTAAATGTTGAAGTAACTTTGATGGCTTCATGTTTTCTTTTGACAAGACTTGTCCACAAATAACACATTGTGGTTTATTGTAAATAACGGTAAAACCATATTTAAGATATTCATCAATGTAGAATCTGTGTTTCTTTTTATTGCTGCTACTGCCACTTTCAGACGTAGATGGTTCTGCACTTCTTTTTAAAAACTTATCCATAATTTATAATTTATCGTAGACGGAAATACGTAAACGGGAATACGTAAGTCGTAAAATATTTACTCATTACTCAACAGCGCGTTCGCCACCATAGGCTGTTTGGATTTGAACTGAGGTTTCGTTGCGCATCGCCGCTTATATAAAGCCAAAACGAGGCTACAAGAACGTTCCAGAGTGCCATCTAGTAGCGAGCGCTTTTGCGATGATCATGGAAGAGTTTTGCGATGTAGACACAAGCTAATATGTCGCGGTGTACAATGTGCAGTCGACTTCTTATTATTTATTTTTATTGTAAATGCTATTCTGGCAGAAGTACCTACTACTAATTACTAGTGGGACAGATCGCAATCATTAAAATAATTGTATTAAAATAAAATAATTGTTTTTGATTTAAATTTAAACAGTAAAGTAAAATAAATTTGAGAAACCATCAGATAATTGTAAATTAGGCACGCTATTTCTGTCAAATAATATTGAATATATGAGTGGGGGGAAATTGCGGGGTCGCGAACAAATTTTTTAGCAAAAAATGGTCGCGGTTGAGATAAGTTTGGAAAACTCTGCTCTGAAATGTTATAGTTGGAGTTTCTGGAAACATTTCTTTGTGTCATATCCTAAAATATTTCTTTTGGACAATTCACCGAGTTCAGTTAATTGTTGACACAGTCATATTCATGTGTATAGCAACCGCTATTTACCGTGAAGTTTTAATTTTTTAAACAGTGACAACCGGAAGTCAATCTAAAAATTAACATTCGCCTAAACCTAGCCGGTACGCCACTGAATTAATACAGAGCTATGAGGTGGACAAGCCTATTTCGCACATCTCATTATAAATGTCGTTTAGTGCAGGTATTGCTAATATCTACTATGGCTGTCTAAATAAAATATTTAAGGCTATACTTCAAGCCTATTGCAAAGAATTTGAGACCTAAACATACGTAGATATATATTAAAAAGAGCGAGGGAAAGGTTGCAGCTCTGTTTTACTGACGCCTTCTGTTTTGTTTCACGACGTTTCAGTTATGTTTTGACGACAACGCGGCGTCAGTTTCAGCTTACAAGCGAACCAGTACAAACAGTTTAACAGTCATCATTGGCACTTAGTTGTTATCGCCTTTGTGACGTCAAGTCTCATGAACGTACGGTCAGATAGTTCGTGTTAAAACTAATTTGAATGGAGAATAATGCATTTGTTGTCATTAAACTACCCGTCGGCCGGCGCAACTGAGTAAAGATAGTCTGGCGTAAGCAGTGTAGAAAAGTAAGTAATACGCCCATTTCAAATCGCAGTGTGGTTTAACTGCTAAAACAGCCTTATGTACATCGTATTTACAATAATTCAACTGTTATTACTCCTCCATGTTTTAACATCTCTACGGTAATGGCACCGTTTCCAGGTGCTTTCTTATTCTTCATTTCTTTCAATTTTTTTCTATTACAAGCTTACTTATTTCTGGTTGTAGATCTGAGTTTACATTTTGATTTTTAGTTGGTTGAGGAGTTCGTCTGATCGATTTTGTTTGAAATCATAGAGATTCCAGTAATAGTCCATACAGGTGCTTAATACAACAATAATATTTCAAAAAATGCAGATACTTGAGGCAAATCTACACATCCATCTATGAATATTCAGCTACTAAAAAGCTTCCCCCCTAAGGAAAGCTATTAAAATTCACAAACACCCGATTAATTTGACGACCTGTGAAGAAAACGATCCGCATCTAAACTATATATAGCGCAGATGCCTCAGGAAGAGAATGAGTCGTTAAGGGAAACGATACGAGGTCATGTTCATCTCCGCTCTTGTGCCACCTTTAATAATGTCTGCCGCAATTATAGACGAAAGATCAGAAAGAAATAATTCGGGATATACACGGCTTACAAATCCCGATAATCATGAAACCGTTTACAAAAACGGATTTGTCAGAATTTTAAAACCTATAATAAACAAATAAATATATTACCTTATCTTTTTTGATCAAATCCTCCGGAATTTGCACCAAAAGCATCTTGTCATTTTCTGGAGTTATCGTAAAGGTTAACATATTTAATGGAAGGCAGTGCTTGGGTTTAAGTGATCCCTTACATTCCAAAAGGTGAAGATTTTTACTACCAATAACCATTAGTCTCTCCCTTGGTTTATATCCATGCCTATCAAACTTTATGACATTCGTAGAATACTACAAAAGGAAAATATAATCAGGAGTGCCATCAAGAAATACTTTATTAATCAATTACTTACAACTTCTTTATCACCATTTAGTTGTGATGCATAAAGTTCTTTCATTGGAATATGTATTTCTTGAACTCTATCAGGTTCGAAGAGATGTGGGACACTATCTTTGTACGATTTCTTTTTATCTGAAAAAAAAAATTATTAGTTAACTCAGTGTATTAAGTGTTCAACCTTAACCATTATACAGAAAAGCTTACAATATAATTTGTATTTAATATAAACACTTAATACTGAAATATCAATAACCTGAGTTGATCTTGAACCAAATACTGACATTGTTAAAGCACTACTTGTTTTGTATACCTAAATATAAATAAGCGAGTACCAAGATATGATGAACATGGTATTTTTGAGTTCGTTATGATTCACGGTGGTCAATAGTCTGTTATTGTTTATAAATATGTCCGTTTCATCATCATCACCATCATCATCATCATCATCATCATCATCATCATCATCATCATCCAGCCTTCATTTATTACGTCCACTGCTGGAGATAGGCTACCCTTAAACTCCTCCATTCTTTGCGATTTTGTGCTCTGTGTTGGTGAAAAATACGTATATTTTTCCACCAGTTCTACAACTTTGTCTTGAATAGTCAAATTTTTGTTGGGGACCATATTTGTCATAAGCTTAGTTTTGGACAAGTTCATTCTGAGGCCCACCCTGTAACATGAAAAGTCCAATTCATTTAACATATCTGTGGCTTCTCCTAAATCATCTGTGATAAGGACAATGTCATCTGCGAAACGGAGATGGTTAAGCTTTTCGCCGTCTATCGTTACTCCTCTGTGGTCCCAATTGATCATCTTAAGGGCATACTCTAATGCCGTTATGAATAATTTCGGTGACAATGTATCTCCTTGCCTTATTGGCATTGCATATGCTTTTTATTTTTATTGGTCGGGTTTTATCGTGTATCTCAACGGTCATAGTGGCATTTTTGTAAATATTGTAAATAAGTTCACTATACCTATGGTCAGTCCTGCTGTCATTCATTGCTTCTATAAGACTGTCTATTTCGATCGTATGGAGCGTTTTATGAAAATCTATGAAAGTGAGGATAAGAGGTTTGTTGTATTCTATAGATTTTTCAACAAGCATCTTTACTGTATGGAGGTGATCATTGGTACCATAATTTGATCGGAATCCTGTCTGCTCTCTCTGTTGCTAGAAATCTATTCTCTCTCCAATCTTGATGTCACTAACCTAGTGAAGAGCTTGTATATGTGGTTGAACAGGCTAATATTTACCATTCGTAAATTTAAACTCAGTCAATATTATTATATAGAGCAATGGTACCCAACTGGTGCTGCGCGGACCCCTTGGGGTCTGCGATGTATGGCTGAGGGGTCCACAAGATGTAAAAATAAATATATGGAGAGCCAGGGAGAAAAACGATATAAGTCCATTTTGCAAGTTTTTTAGGAGAGAGAAAACAAAGTTTTTCTCTCTAAATCTTTAAAATTAATAAAATATATCGCGCAATCTTAAAGTTATATCAAATTTTAGATTGTTAACTATAATTTTTTTTATAGACCTAAAAAAAATATTTTCGTGCAAGACAGATTCAGCCTCCCCTCTTTACCACCACTGACACTGCAACTAGATGGGACCCTACTTTGGCTATATGCCGTTAAAATGTGTTGGTGTCAGGCTGTCTGTTTACATTACAGCTACACAGTCAATTCGCATTTTACAGATGTCAGTCGGCTATTGTTAGTAAGTTAGTTAGTTCATTGCTAGAATAGCAGCAGATATTTTTACTGCATTGAATGATTTTTCAATAAACATGACGTCACATGGACAAAATGTGTGGGCTTGTCTACGGATGGAGTAAAATCAATGGCTGGCCACAAAGCAGGACTTCAAGCTCGTGTCAAAGCAGTAGCTCCTAAGGTGAAATGGACACACTGTTGTATTCATAGGGAAGGCTTGGTAGCCAAAACATTGCCTGAACCTTTGCAGAAGATACTTAACGAAGTAGTTCAAATCGTTAACTACATTAAAACTCGACCTCTGCAATAGAGAATATTTTCTTTGTTGTGCAAAGAGATTGGCAGTGAGCGTGAACACCTTATTCATACGGAAGTAAGGTGACTCTCTCGAGGGAGGATATTGACAAGATTTTTTGAACTTAGAGATAAAGTTCGTGTTTTTCTTCTTGACACCAAGTACGCAGATATTCTTACTGACTTTTCTTGACTGTCTACTTAGCTGACTTGTTTGAACACTTGACTGTATTAAAGTTTAGAAGGGAAAAATGTAGACATGTTTAAAGTTGAAGATAAGATTAGTGCTAAGCTAAAAAGTGCCAGCTATGGGCGGCAAGGATTGAAAACGAGTCGTTCACTAACTTTCCTAATTTGAAACAGTTCTTGTAGTCTGCAGTGCAGAGTTTACTTGACCCGATAAAGATCAACACAGCCGAGCACCTACGCAGCCTAGCCACGACTTTTAGAATATACTTCCCTGAACCCGACACTGACGATGGTTGGATTCGAAATCCTTTCAGCTGTCAAGCAATTGAACAAATCCAAGGTCTCACAGAAGAAGAACAAGATATGCTTGTGGATTTGTCGAGTTGTGGTACGATGAAGGACATTTTTAATGCCGAGAAAATAGCAGACTTCTGGCCAACAACACGCAAGGATTAAAAAGAACTTGAAGACAAGGCCAAAAAATACTTCCGTTTACAACAACCTGTCGGTGTGAGCAAGCATTTTCTTCCATGTGCTTCATGAAAAACAAATATTGGAATCGGTTTGACATGCGGTCGGATTTCAAAGTAAAAGTTTTAAGTTTGGAACCTAACATTACAGAAATAATGGATTCTAAGGTTAAATTCAACGTATTTTATTAATTAAGGAGTGAACATTAAAACTAATAATGTATTTGTATAGGTAGTCTGTATTTTTACCAATAAATCCTAAACAGAATTAGTTTGATTTATGGTTTTACATATTTTGGCTCTTTTCAGGTAACTTTAGGTTTATTTAGGTCTTTAGGAAATAGTGGGGTTCCTCGTCATTGTATTACCTTGATTGGAACCTTGGAAAAATTTAGTTGGAACACCTGTTGGATCCCCATCTCGGTGTACAGAAAACAAAAAGGCTAACGCAGCAGTTTAAAATTCTAAATGAATCTGCGGCTTAGTCTAGAATATGCTGGTATCTGATCGGCCTATGGTGTAGCAGTACGGCAAGAGATAAGGCCTTGCGGCTCGGTGATACTCCTCCATAGATCCCTACCGGAAGGGTGTATGCCGCCTAAATACCGGGTATATATATATATATATATATATATATATATATATACACCTCATTTACGAACTAAGCCCAAAAGACACGTTTTATATCAACGTATTTATTTTCACAACAATAAAACTATTTTAAATTAATACAAATGTACTTTTACCTTTAAATAACGATTCCGCCAACACTTTCAACTCAAACTGTCGTTTTCTCTCTGGTGTTAAAGCCAGTCTATATACCCTTGACAAATGTGCTCCGTGCATGGTTTCTAAACGTTTGGAAGCGTCCTGGCAAACAAAAGGACATGGTGGCCAACGTCTGTACAAAATTTGTTTAGGAAGACTCTTGGATAATCTTTTCAACCATTGAACTTTTGCCATTCTCAAGAATGATTTATTTTCGTCTGTAGGCGGACCATTTCGTGTGATGAAGCCCTTGATAAACCTAAAAAGTATTCGTATTAATGAGTGTCTATTACGAATCAAATACGAAATAAATACAACAAATTGTATTAATAACAGACGTGGAAGTTTAATTAAACGTTTTATAGAAACTTGAAAAGCTAGAGCAGCATTTAACAATATGAAAAAGCTCCTCATAAGCAAGGATTTGTCTCTTCCCCTAAAACTACGTCTAGTTAAATGCTACATTTTTCCGATCTTGCTGTATGATGTGGAGGCCTGGACGCTGACGGAGATGCTCACGAGAAAACTAGAAGCATTCGAAATGTGGGTGTACCGACGCATTCTTCGTATGCCCTGGACCGAACATGTCACCAACATAGAGGTACTCCAAAGAATCTAGGCCACATATTAAGACACGTCTAGTACCATCTAGTGCAATTGATTGTCCAGAGAAAAATAAACAGTAAGCGAGGGCCAGGCAGGAGAAGACACTCGTGGCTGCAAAATCTGCGGAAGTGGTTCGGGCTCACATCGGTCGAACTATTCAGTAGCGCCGCAAACAAGATCGGAATTGCCATGTTTATAGCCAACGTTCACAACGGACAGGGCACTTGAAGAAGAAGAAGAAGAAGAGAAACTTGGCAATTAAAATAAGAAAAGTTAGTACAAAGTTTTTAGACATGCCCAATTAATCTAAAATATTTACAATTTAGTACCTTTTCAGTTTATGTCGAAAGTTGATAAAAACTTCCCTATTTTAAATATAATGCTCTGTATACTATGATGTATTTAGAAAAAACATTTTTTGAAAACTCCCTAAATATCAGGTTATGCTATCATACACCAAGTATTTTGACCAAAATTAAGATATGACCAATTTTGTAACTAATACAATGTCTAGAATCCGTTTCAGATTTATCATACACAATATTCATTGCTGTAAACAATGCAAAATTGGATATACAGGACAAATTTTTGAAGGTTCGACCTCTGATTGCTGTAATGAATAACAAATTTCTCGATTTAGCACCACAAGAAGAACACCACAGCTTTGATCAGTCAATGGGTCCGTATTATGGAAAACATGGATCCAAGCAGTTTATCCATGGTAAACCTATTAGATGGGGATATAAGTTTTGGATGGGGACTACTAGGCTGTGTTATGTGAAGTGGTTTAATTCATATCTGGGACCTTAAACCACTATTCAAGTGGTTTGGGACTAGCGTTGTCTTTCAATTTGTTGTAATACATACCTTCTGATTGCAAATGCTGCCTTCTTGCGTTTCTCGGCTAAACGTTTAGCTAGAACTCTTCTGATGTACTTTTGTATAATAATAGCAGATTCCCTCATCTTTCGATACCTTGTTCTTTGTAGATAACCCTTCCAGTGTGCTTCAATTATAGAAGCGATTTCATGCTTTTTAACTTGGAATGCATCTTCAGTTTGGAACAGCGTTTTTGGATGCCTGATGAAAATTTTAGTCCTAAAATATATCAAAATATTAATTTCTAAATTACAATTTAATAAAAGACATGATTCGTGGTAGTGCTAAATATTTCTACTTCAAAAATAAATCAAGCATTAACAAATTACAAACTCTACTCTACAGTATATCGTTAAAAAAATAACTTACTTTCCCATTTGATATTCTTCTTTATCATAGCCAAGGCTATTAACCAAAGCCTGGACACCGTTTTTAGCATTTCCTTTGTAATTTGGCCAAGTTTCTTTGGAAAGACACTTATACCTTTTTAGGAATCTTTCATAATCTCTGCGATACGCAAAACCGGCTCTACGAACTCTTAAATTTTCCATCAAACCCAAGTATGTAACTTGATGTCCTACTAGTTCGAAATCAAAGATACCTGAAAAATATTTTATAATATAGTTTAACTGTAGAAGATTGAAGATTGTTTGAAGAGTTTCTTAAATATTTTCGTACATTTACATACGATAACACACAGCCCAGTTAAAAAAAGATTCATGGTTAAAGATCCGTCAAAAATAATTTGTATACAGTATGTTTTGTGGCGAAAATTAATAGTTATGGAAGTAGAAGACCATAGTGGACGAGTTTAAGTAAAATAAGGATCGTGATTTTTAATTATTAATTAATTATAATATTAATTATATATTAATATATTTAATATCACGTTTAATTTTTTCACATAATTGCCAAAACTATTGGTTGCTGCAATTTTAGGATAATATTCACTAAACAATATAAGTTAAAGCTTTATGTTAGGTTAGATTTAAACACCTAGCGCCACCTAGGAAAGAAATGTGAACTACCAACTGACGAACATCGAAGAGTTTGATGTTTAATATTTAGATCGGTAGAATCGATCATTTTAATTTTTGTAATTTTTGAGACTTTCTTAGAGGTTTAGATTTAGTACAGTACCGACAGTGATCTATATTATGAGAATATATTGTAAATAGCTGTTAATAAAAGAATACAGCAATAGGTATTCTACCTTTTTTTGTTAACTTAGTTTAGGCATTCAATGATTTCATAATCTTGATAACTAAAAAAACTTAAAACGGAGATAATAGAAATGGGTTGTTACTTGGAAATTCTTATTATACAGTGAAGCCATTTATAAGGAGTCTACTAAGCAATCCATAAAGAAAATTTCTATAATGAATTCCATATTAAAACCAGATATATACCATAACTATCCTCCATATAGAATGTCTATCTTCAGATAACTATCTGTCAGATAGCACAATATCTATCCCGAGGTATAAAGACCGGCTCTTTCATACAAGAAGTTTATTTAAAAAATTTAATAAATATTTTGAAAGTTTGTTGATCCTAAAATATTGACTGCGAATTTGGTGATCAGTAAAAAATATAATATAAAACTCGAGCTTTCCAACAAATAAATTGCCAAACTACAAATTGTAGAATTACGCTGGGTTTTGTACGTAGATCGATTTAAGATAAGACTACGTTGTTATGAAAGTTGCCCAACAAACATACTCTTTTCTCATATTAAACTTGAAGAATATCACTTAACCATTAAAAATATTGGTAATCCAACGACCATCTTATTCAGCTCAAAATTTCCAATAATGGAATCTGTTTGTACTTGTGCAGTAAAGCTACTGTCGATAAGTTTATGAATTAACATGGAGGAATAAATAAAATAAATGAATAATTAAACTCTTTCGTTTAAAATACTTATCCAACGTTTACTTTTGTCTATTTTTTTGCTTGTTCATGTCACACGATATCCGCGATCACAAGACTAGATTATACTCTTTATAACTCAGAAATATATTCTAAAACTATATGTTTTTTACCTGGAACAGCGGTAGAAATAACAGACAAGAGCTCAAGGACTACATTGACCTTTATCAAGTGGCTGCATCATTGTGCCAAATAAAAACCTGCAGAAGAAGTTTTTCTGAACAATTCGCGTCGCGTCGTATTGGGATGACGAAGTCCAATTACATTGGTCGACAAATAAAGGTGAAGAAAACAGAGCAATTAATAGACCGGTATTTGGAAAAATCTTCAGCAAGGATTGGCCAAAAAGCTGCTTCCCCAGTTAATATCATGTCTGGATTCCGAGCTACTGGAATTTATTCTTTTGATCTAGAATCTATTCCTGACTGTGCATTCGCTCCTTCCCATTCTTCACAGCGTCCTGATCCAGAAGAGGACATGCGAATGGGTCCCGAATCTGCTGAAGCATCAGAGATTCAGAGAGAATTTTGAAAACTCCAGAGCTGAGAAAGAAACTACTAACCTCTAGACGGAAGGCACTAAATTATCAGGCGCAAGTAATAACTAAGGAACTATTCGCTGAAAGACAAAAGCATGAGAGTGCTAAAGTAAATAATGCCTCTAAGGAGGTTTCACTTGGGAAAGGTAAGATCAGAAATATCTGGAGAAATCTAGTAATGAAAACGACGTTTCTGTTCCAAGATGCAGTGGAACGTTAAAAGTTGTTAACTGATTTTGTCATTTATGCTGTGAAGACAGAACAGCTGACATAAGACTTTGCAAAATATGCAAAAAGTAGTAGGAGGAGTTGTAGTATATCAGTTATTAATTATATTAATGTTCATTAAATATTTGGTAAATCTTGTCATTGGTTTCATTGGCATTAACATGCTTCATACATTAAAGTTTTGGGGTGGGCCATATTAGGAACTAGGTATGGGCCCCATTTGGAAGATGGGTTCCTAAGAAGGCCCTACTATAAAAGTTAATCCATTTGATTATGATAATACTAATTACGAAATAATTTTTTTGTATTTTATTTTTATATTACTAGAACTGAAGCATGTTACACACTTTTTACCAACCTCCTTATTTGGTACACTTACGAAATAAGTAAAACTCATGTAAAACTCATTTTGCAATTAACGTACTGTATACACATATATCATCTCGCTAATAACTCCCAGTATTCGTTGCGGTTTAAAAATAAACAAATAATGATGAAAAAATTTATGAATAACTTACCCGAATGTTTAGAATCGTTAGGTTTTATACATCTAATATAAGACGGTTCTTTATCTTTCAAAATATTCATGAGGTTGTTTACGGAAGTCTTAAACTGGGTAATGGCAGTCTCTGGTCTCTTTTTACTTTTTTGCTCATGTTCGAAGAACACTGACTCTATAATACGATTCTTTGAACTCAACATAGCTTCTCTTAAATCTCTGAATAATAAATCGTTGTTTTTATCTATGAAAGATTTGACGTTGTAAGTTACAGCTCCAGCGTAATGAATTAAGCGGAATTCCTGAAAATTGACTTTTATAAATTTATATATTATAATTATACATGGTTATATTCATTAAAAAATGTATTATTAGTAAATATGTCGAAAAATAAAAATGTACAGTTGTAAAATAAGAATATTTTGAAGCTATTTTCTTGTGGAAATTTATATTCGATTTAAAAATGCATGAGAGTACAATTTTTATTACATAATCCTAAAGAAGTCTTTACAGAGGACTGTTCAACGTGAAAACTTATAAATATTAATACAATGTCTCTTATTTTTGTACCAGAATTTATAAAAATAATATGACTACATCAACAAACTTCGAATACAGTAAAACATTAATTAGAAATAAGCAAAAGCCTTAACCAGAGGCTTACTCAATAATGAAAAATGATTGTAATGTTACGATAAATATGACTCATACCCTTAGCTGTAAACATATTTTTCTAGCAAGTATTTTTTTAGCAGGTAATACCCACGGGTCCCCTATTATACCTGCGATTGGAACTTTCCAGATAAGGCTCGAATAAATTCGACGGTGTTCCGACCTAAGGTCAAAGAAGCACGCAGAAGCTTCGAGATAAAGAAATTAGGTATACAAACGGACGATTTGAGATTTAAAAGGACAGTCTGAAACAAGCGTCGATTAATAAATTGTTCGCGCAGTTATTTAAAATGTAACCGGTGTCTTAAATAAATAAATGTATGTTAATAAACTTGTAAAGTGTTGTAAAGAGTAGAACATTTTATAATAAATAAAGTCAATAAGTTAGATTTATAAAAGAGTTCAGTGGTGTCAGAGTGGAATATGTTTTAAATAAATTGTGAAAATGACTGCGATTTATGAACTCACAGTTACGAATTTAAGAAAACATCTCGAGGACAGAGAATTAGCTTCTACCAGAAAAGGCTGATTTAGTCCAACGAGTAAAGAACGCTTTGGATGAAGAGAGTTTGGACCAGGAAATTTATATATTTGAAGACAAACATGTTGCTGGCATCTCGTCGATTTTGAGAGTTTTTACTGATATGAACAAAGTTTTTGGTGACATCGCATCATTAGAGAACAAAGTTTCTGGCGATATTTCGAAAGTTTCCGGCGACATCGCTTCTTTAGAAAACAAAGTTTCTAACGAGATTTCTTCTCTGGAGAGCAAAGTTTCTGCTAACATTGCTTTGGAAATCTCTAAAGTCATTTCTGAGAAGTTTACCCTTGACATAGAATATCTTCGTTAAAAAACCAAGTTGCTGCCGATATGTTGGCCTTCGAAGAAAAGATGAAAGAGATGGAAAGGAAGATGGAGGAAACAGGAACAGCAGAGAGACGAAACAATCCAATTACAGTAGAGACAAAAGAAGACGAGACGAAATGTAAGTTGGAAATACTTCCGAAATTTGAAGGAAGTGGAGGTTCTGTTCATGTTAAAGTCCCAACTCTCGACGGAAAATCGTCATGGAACAACTACATGAAACAGTTCGAATCAGCTGAAAGAGCGAATGGATGGTCTGAAAAAGAAATGGGCTGTAAACCGGACTATCGTTCTTCGAGAAGATGCCTTAGATGTGCTTCAGACTATAGCCGTAGAGGAGACGGATGATTTCGAACAACTTAAGAAGAGGTTAAATATGCAATATGGCCACGAACATTTGGAGCATCTATATCAGTCGCAGCTTAAAAATCGAAGACAAAAGAAAGATGCTCTTCAAGAGTATGAGGTAGATGTTGCCAGATTAGTAGGATATATATAGACATGATGGAAAAGTTGGCCGTGATTAAACATCGCGATTAGCTCGTCACAAGACGCTGGTTGATGTCTTATCCGCCGCCCTCGAATACGAGTGAGCTACGCAGGCCTCTGGCGGGTACAGTAAAATTAGGACTGTAAAAGAGATAAGAGATGCAAGAAACCGAAAACCATAAGAAAACTACTTTTTCAAAGACCCTCTCATACTAATAACTTCTTTGAAATGTCGTGAAGATAGTGTATATGTGGATGGAGAAATAAATAGTAAAAGGCATACGTTGTTGGTGGATACCGGAGCGACCAGAACCAGAAGATAGTTATAAACAGCCGTAAGAAACTGTTACGGCTGTTTATAACGGCATAAAAATTTATGAAGGAACTGGAAAAGAAGCAAAACCAGAAATTATTGCAGTTTACAATCTCACAAAGGGAGGAGTAGACGTTGTTCACCGAAAAATATCTTCCTATATTGTTGTTAGAAACACTAGAGATTGGCCTATGGTACTATTCTATGGCCTCATGAATGTTGCTGCCATCAATGGTTTCGTAATATACAAAAAAAAAAAAACAATTCAGAAGGAGAATTTAACAATTGCAGAAGATTATGTATGAAAAATTTAGGGATGAATATGACAAAAGAAAATATGAGAAGGAGAGCTTTGAATCTTCATTTAGCTCGAGTTGTACGACAATAAGTGTCGAGCCCTATCAAATACTCCTATGCCAGGTCCATTAGAAGTGACCAATAATAAAAGAAAAAATTGCAAATACTGTAAAAGACGGAAAACGCGATATTTTTGCACATTTTGTTTGTCCTGGTTGTGCATGGAGCATATTGTAGCATGTTGCTCTGAGTGCAGAGAGAACAATTTAGAGTAAAATTCAAGCTTTTGTATTTTGTGCAGACAATTTTTCTATTTTTGTTATAACCAAATTTATGTAGCTTAATATTTGCATTTTACTTTTACAATTTTAGATTCCTACATACGTTTACTAATGTATTTACTAATCATTACTAATAAAAGTTAAACAAAGCAGAAAATGCAAGGTTTTAGATTAACTGCTATATTTTTTGAAAAATAAAACAAAATGAAAATACAGTGCCACAAGGTCATTAAGTAAGAGACAGGTAAACCGACAAAATACTTAAAAACATTATGTAAACGTTATCTGAAATTTGTGGGTCATTTAAATTTTGGTCCTGATAGACCCCAGCCGTCCACTGGTGAGAATTTCAGACCACTCGTCTACTGCTGGGTTAAGGATTTAAGTAAGGAAATATTTTAGTTAAAAATAACTCATACTCACATCTCTACCCATAATTTTTTGTAATTTAATATCAGCCTTCTTGTGACTTATGTAATGAGCATGGTAGCTCAGACGTTCATCCAATTTAGCAAGTAAAGTTTTGTCAGTAGGATCTCCTGGTCGCAAACATTCTTCGTCCATGTACGCAATAAGACCTAAAAGTTGAATTTGAGACATAAACCATTTACTGCTAAGAAATTGTTTATAAAAGTATAGAAACTTACCTCTATGTTTTTCTTCAATTAAGTCACAAATAATTTTATTGTCGAAATATTCTATATGTTGCCATACAATTCCTTCTTTTTCGTATTCATCTTGTTCTGATTTCAATGTAAGGTCGATAAACAACTGTTGAAGTTTTTCGTTACAAAAGTTAATGCAAAGTTGTTCAAATCTAGAAATATGTCAAAGTTAAAACTAGAACCATAAATAAATTTCCTGACATTTACTGGTATCTATTCATCGAGTTAGAATCTATGGAGAGGGCATCACGTGACTAAAAAAGACCTCACTTCGGCCATATTGGTATTATTGTTTTGAAACTTTTGACAGATCGTATATATGTTTGTTTACATTTGTTGTTTTTCGAATATTTTCAGTTTTATAATACTTTTATAGAAACTGTAATATATTGTGATAATATAGTGCATAATAATGATTTCATGTTCTCAACGTAGTTACAGTAGCAGAAGCAATGTTAATAAAAAATCTTCAGGAATATCGTTCCACAGGTTAGTATACAAATATGTAAACAAAGTAATGGCCCGTACTTCAGAGAATAAATTAATAGTATTTGACTGTATTAATTTATCTTTATGTATAATATATCGTGTTTTTAGTGTTTACCGCGGGATAAATAAATCATAGTTTATTAAAAATGTATTGCACGTTTTTAGATTATGATTAAATTTTCTGAATAACTAGTCATATTTGTATAGTAGTTTTAATATTATTGAGTCTGGCCCTGATGTTACCGCCATATTGGTATTATCCTTAGCCATGCCTACCTACGCCGTTTTTAATACATACGTTAATAACCTCATAGCTTCTCCATAGATTCTAACTCGATGTACCTATTCTATGCCAAGAAAAAAGCAGAGTTTTTGTCCAATGAATTTGGTTGTCAAGTTATATGAAGCATGTACGTAAACTAAATACAAATATCACAAATAAAGAAAGTTACAATAATGAGGGGACAGCGATATGAACTGCTAAGGCTGATAATATAGGGAAAGATAAGAGGAGGAAGGAGTATAGGAAAAAGGAGAGTGTCATGGCTGAAGAATTTAAGGGACTGGTTTAAATGCAGTCAATAGAACTCTTCAGAGCAGCAGTAAATAGAGTAAAGATAGTGATGATGATATACAACCTCCGATTGGGAGATGGCGCTTAAAGAAGAAGAATCACAAACAATTAGGGATTAAATTTTGATTTTTTTTTTGAACCTATTCTCTATCCTTCCATTGTTGGATATAGGTCTCCCTCACTTCTCTCCATCTTTCCCTATCTTGAGCTGTTCTCTGCCATGTGGGACCTCCTTGTTTCCTGATGTCACCTTTCCACCTCATCTGTGGTCTGCCTCTTGATCTCTTTGCATTGTATGGACGCCACTCCGATGGCATTGTTCCATGGTCCATCTTGGAGACGTTCATTGTGTCCGTGTCAGTCATAGCTTTCGTGGAGGAGGAGCTCTGAACTGAGTAGGGGTTCTTCTGTACTTCACGGAAGACAGACTAGGCGGGGGATGTCCTCAACCTCGACACGGCACGTCCCATATGGCTGATAGGGAAAGTTCCTGCAGATATGCAGGACAGGTACGAATAAGGCATTGCCAAATAAGTACCCGCGGATCAACTGAGGATATGACATTAGGCAGCAGCAATGCCATTACTGGATTAATGCTATGGGAAGTAAAAATTCTGTAGGCTTAATTCCAGATACTCACAGGCGTTACTCACATTATGAGTTAAGCGGCTGTGATACTGCGACAACAGCAGCGTCTGACCCAGAGTGGGCGGCTGCAAACAGCGTCTGTTCCCAGAGTGGGCGGCTGAAACACACTTACCAACCCGTCTGGCCAGCGTGGTGAGTTCACGGCCAATCTACCCCCCTCTTATGACAGATACACGTAAATTTTGATAAACGCTAGAAATTTAAGATATAGATCTGAAAATCTGAGCAAAATAATTTGAAAACATGTATGATAGTAACAAAGAAAGTAATAATGAGATAGAAATTAAAAATATATCATCTCGCCAGCTATAGATTAGTCCAAATGGACTGCTAGGTCAGGAGGCCCAGAAATCTAAAAAAAAAACTAATAAAACTACCTATACGAAAAAAGAGAAAGAACTAGGATAATAACAGATGAATGGAAAACTAGCATAACTATACCTATATACAAAACAGGCTCAAAATCGGAGCCGAAGAATTAGAGAGGCATAAAGTTACTTAGTAGTGAGCTAAAACTACTAAAAAATAAAATTATTGCCAATTTTTTTTGCAGATTTTAACATAGCTTGAGCTTGGCATATCTCGACTTAATTTAAGTGAAACTAATAGTTACTTCTTTGACTTACCCGTTTCTTTCAAAAATCTCAAACCCATAAATGTCCAAGATACCCATCACGACATTTCTTCGTTTGTCGCTGGGTTGTAAAGAATCGTTAATTCTATTTACAAGCCAAGTAAACATTCTGTCGTATATGGCCTTAGCTAAAGCATCTCTGGCGTATATCGACAATTCTCTATTTAGGGGACTAGTGACTACATCTCTAATGGTTTCAATAGTTCGTTGTTGCAATGCTAGTCTCATTTTTTCTTTATCACAGTCAAGAAGCTACAAATAAAAATATGTTAGAGATATTTTCGTTTTCATTTTTTACATTCAATGATTATGTCATTAATTGATTAATAACTATAAGAGAAATACATTTAAACGAGGCATGGGTATTGTAAAGTTTTTGAGAGAAGGAGAATCTCCTACGAGTCTAAGAGCCTATCCTGTTCGCGATCTCCCAGCCTTCCTCAGTCTCGTTTTATTTCAATCTTAGAGGAAAAGCTCGTCGGATGAAGAGCATATTTAGAGCAACTTGGAGAAGTAAAAATATACTACGCAAGCAACTGTTTGGCCTTTCTACTGCCTTCGCATAGACACACTATTTTGGTTGATCACTGATGATCCTAAGAGATGGAATAAAACTAACACCTAAGAGATGGAAAAATTTTTTTTTTCGGAATATTGTTCTAAACCAAACCACATTCTTTATATTACATTTCACTAGCTTACTAAGACTGTCAACAAAAAAAGGCACACCCTTCCCAATAAGAATGATTATTTTTATAAAGAGTTAATGGGCTCTTTCAGGTAACATTGTAGCATTTTATATTGAGATCCCCTCGTATATGTAAAATATTAAAATCCCCTTATATATGTTTGATAAATCTAAGAATATTTCGTACGTATTAAAAACCAAATATCTTTTCATTTCTTTCTTAGGTCGGCCAAGTTAAAATAAACCATTTTAGAGTTGTTTATTGTTTTAACTTTTTCGGCAATTTCTTTTAATGTTTTATTCGAAGTTGTCTTATAATTTTTATACGTAGCAAAAGAATATCTACATCGTTTCGTTTGTGTTTTGGTAATTTCAGCGGTTTGTTTATTTTCAAGTTATACGAACGAATTTTTAAATTCGTCATTCATACTTGGGTCGTCGTAGTGTTAGGTATGGATCTTAATTCATGCTTGGGTCCCCGAGCAGTTCGTTAGGCTCAGATCCGGATCCGAATTCGTCGTCGAATTTGTGGTTTTATGTTTTTGGCTCCTTTTGTGGAAATAAGTAGCAGTAGTGGTGAATTTTTATTTATTATGGAGTGACCGGCATTAATTTGCCAAAATTGGTGGAGTAATCGCTCGATGTAAATGTCATTTTAGAAAGAGTGACCACTGTTTCGTTTTTTTGAAGATTTTAAGATGTTTGAAAAGTCTAGTTCCTGTTGAAAAGTTGAACAAGTTTAGTTCCTGTTTTTTTGAAAGTTCCTGTTCTTCCAAGTGCACTAGTTCCAGCCCCAATGGATAAAGCTCTTTGCTGATGATGTCCGGATAGATACTCCAGAGATGTAACAAGTTTTTTTTTGTTAAGTGGAAATATGTTAATCCAGGTAACTGTTTATTGTTTGTTTAATTTCAAAGTAAAGAGAGATATTTTTTTAGAACAATAATTGCTTTCGTTAAAATTTAGAAATTGTAACATTAAAAAATTGTAATGCAGTAACATTTGTAAGTTTTATGTAGTATCTCCAACTCCTGGAGTTTTTAAGCGGATGACACACGTAAGTATTTTGTATTCTTGTATTTCTTCATGTTGTAACTGTTTGTGGTGACACAAAAATAAATGTTAAATTTTGTTTTGTTAACATTTTATTAATTTTTTTTTTGAACTAACCTTTTTTTGATTTTTATTTGAAAAAGATATTTTTTTGATGTTTTATAATTATTTCCCTAGTTACAACTAGTGGTTGTAATCGGTATAATTAGGCACCCCAAGTGGCGCCCTATATTAAATTACTTGAGGTGTTTCCTGTTTATTTTTATTTTGTTTATCCCAAGAGATTAATGACCCCTTTATTTCATTTTTTGTAGTTGCCCCAATCCAACCCCCTTATCTTTTACTTATCCACGACCCCAGCTCTCCTATCAAACCCTGAGTGCCGTTCGCACAAGTAGCGATTATTTTGCTTGCCTTATCCCCACCCCCAATAGTTTCTTCCCTCAATTTTCTACCCCATGTATTAATGAACCCTTTGGTAGGCAAAATATTTTCGTTACAACATGAAGTTAAGAAAACCGAAAGTTAATTTTTTTCAGCCATCTTTTTGGTGACACGACGGCCATTCTGCTCGATAGGACATTTGCTTAGCTTGCTGAATTCCTGCTCTTTGGGGCAAATTCATAAATATCTCATTCAAATATGACACAATATATTTTAATACATCACTTTTTATTATTAGCAAACATGATGAAAAAAAAAACTTTTTTACATTTACCTTACTAACAATATCTACTTGCTCCGGTTTTAATATGAGAGTGCGTCCTTCCTCCTCAGAAAATCCAATGTTTCCTAATTGCAGTATGGCCGAGATAACGGAAAACATATCTGACTGTTCTTTTTCCGTAAACTCTAAAGTAGTTAAGGCTTTTCTAACTTCACTAAAATCTTTCTGATCATTTATAGCTGTGGTGCCGTTTTGCTAAAAAAAATGACAATCACATAGTAGAACTTTGTTAAAGGGTAATCACATATGATCCAAAGCAGTTTAAAAATACATGAACAAAAAATACAACAAGGAATGACAAATGACAAAAGTTGCAAGGATTACAGTATATATAATAAAATATAAAAATAATTCTGAGCAGAAAACCGCCATCTAAAACTAATCATAATTGTCAGTATGAGCAAGAATTAATAAATTAAAAAAACTAAGAGCACTAGGAAATCTATTCAGCCAACTAAAAACAGTTAACTTACCCCATTAGATAAATAATAATAAGAAGATAAATTCCTCTTCAAATGCAATTTGTCCAACTCTTCTTCAGATGCACCTGCAAGCAATTGATAAAAGATGTGAAAATTCCTTTCTCCTGACCCTTGATTTATTACTCGTGATTTTTCTAAAAGGTAGTTTAAGATATTTCCTCCCACTGGATTTCCTTCGAAGTTGAACTGGATGTCCATGTATTTTCCAAACCTACTCGAATTGTCATTTCTATTAGTTTTAGCATTACCAAATGCTTCTAAAATGGGATTTGAAAACAAAAGTTTATCTTTTACTTTTTCTACTTCCCCTCTCTGGTCTGTAACTGCGGCTATATAGTTCAGGACTTTTTTGGAGGCTTCAGTTTTACCAGATCCCGATTCGCCTAAAAATAAATTCATTTTTGAAAAAGTGTAAAAGGCATTATACTAAGGAATTTCTAAATGTGCACATAATTTTCTTGTCAAATGTTAAGAATATTGTTATAATATATAATATATATTAACATATATATTAATTAACATTATATTAATATATAGTCCGTCTAGAAAGTATCCGGAAAAAAGAAAGCAGAATTATACTTTTACGGTATTTATTTCTATCACTTGAAATATAAAATTTTAACAAATAATTCATCACATTTAAGTACTTATACAACCTCCATTTTATTCTAAATACTTAACTAAACGTCCAGGTAACCCGAAACTAGGCCAAGGCCATAATTTTCGGTAATGGTGTTCCAGGCCTGTAAAAGTGACCGAATCAAACCTTCTTTCCACCTAGTTCCACTTCAATCTTCATGAGTCCCCATATGTTTTCAATGGGGCTAAGATCTGGAGATGCTGCTGGGCACGGAATTGTTGCCAATTCGTGTTCTTGCATCCAAGTTTGAGTACAAGCAGAAGTATGGCATCTTGCATTATCTTGCTGAAAACGCCACCCCCCTGGATATAAAACATGAGCCGTTTCAAAAAGAAAACCATATAGGATGCCACAATATTTCGCACTATCCACAGTAGGTACCATTAACTATAAAGAAAGATGTAGCACCACGTTAAGATGCTCCCCTTCTAATCTGTTTATATCCCTCGTTTTGAGTGTCCAGCCCTCTACGCCATATAGCAGCACTGACCATACGTAGCACTTAGTACATATTTCATAAATTACAGTTATCGGAATAACCTAACAAAATGTTACAAAAAGGAAATCTATTAAAATGGGGAAAAATATAAAATTCCGGATACTTTCTAGACGGACTATATTAACATATTAACAAGTTAATATATATGTCTATGGTTAGATATATTTTTCTTCTAATAGTTTGGTTAGTACTAAATAGGGTATAATAATATACAATTTTACCTGAAATTAGGATACATTGCTCTCGGTTTTCTTCTTTTAAGGATGTATATGCGTTGTTGGTAATGGCAAATCTAAAAAGAAAGAAAATAAAAATAAACTCACCTATAACAAACTATAAATAATAGTTCTAGGCTGTTGAGAGAATGGAGAGTCACGTCCCAAAAGTTAAGCCTATAACATGCAATGCAGTTGGTACAAGTCGAGAAAGCGGTATCAGAAAGTTTTGTTTGTGCGAAACTCTACATAGAGTTTCCCAAAAAAATATATACATAGAATTATTGCTTTTCTTGACGAAAGTAACGAGTGACGAGAGTAACTTGAAATACATAAGAGACCAAAAATGATGCAACAATGGCGGGGAATGCAATATTATCTTCACAATCGAATCAATCATTAGAAAAAAAAAAAAGAAGTGAGGCGATTAAGATGTTAGGCTTTATGGCTACCATACAAATAACATCTATAATTTTTATTCGAATTAACGAATTCAATCGATTTTCATTACTTGCCGAAATATATTAATTAAAAAAATATTATGGTGTATAATCAATAAAATAGATCATTTAATATTGTAATGTCATAAATGAAAAATACATGCACTGAACTTTAGTTAATACAAATAAAATATTGTAGGTATAGCACGAATTTGTGTATAAAAAGATTTTTGGCTTTGGAAAATTTATAAAATATGTAATAGTTATAGCGTGTATCACTCATATATCCTTTATAACGGCACCGTTCCGTTGTTCCTTTTCGTACAGGTATCATAATAATTATCGATTAAAAAAATTATTTGCTAATTGAGACACTTTCTTTTTTTACTTTTGTATGTTTTTTTTTCAGTAACTATGAGTTCTTTAGTATTTTTTAGCTTAATTACCTATGTGTTTACAGGTACTTTAATATGCTTGTTTACAACAAACAGTACGAAAAAATAACTGATACTGACGCAAGCGCATAAACAAAATGGTGATGAAAAGTGCTAGTCAGTAGGTATTGAAATAGCAGTCGATATTGAACTTTGACAATGAAATTTGAGATACCGCGTTCTCGACCTGTCCAACTGCACTGCGTCTCACCTGTCCTACTTTTAGTAAATAAAAATCATTTTAATCGTAATCTTACAAAAATAACTACCTCACCTTTTATATGGCTTAAATACTTGGGTGGGGTGAAATGATATTTATATAAGTATTCGTTTCTAAGGGAGAGCACCCACCAAAGTGGCATGGCAAGGGGCAAGTAGCAAGTAGCACGCGTCTAGCATGTTACTTAAAATGTGACCAATGCAAACGAAACTTCACTATCATTTTGGTGTGCGCCGAATCACTCGTTTTCATTGGATACAATTTAAGTAACATGTTAAGTAACATTGCCACTTGCCATGCCAGTTTGGTGGGCGCTCTCCCTAACTTTTCGAACGTGACTTACTACAATAACCTAGAACTACTCCACATTTGTTTAAATAAGTCCAGATTTTCATTTAAAGTAGTAAATAAAGTATAAATAGTCCAAAGCTGTAAAATATGACAAAATTCGATTTTTTGTCAAATTATATCTGATAACGAGTTTTGCAGAGAAAGGTAAATAAAGTGTAAAAGAAAGTAATAATGTAAATATAAGTCATACGTACACATGAGGTGGAACTTCAAAAAAATGTTTGTTGCGGTATTGCTGCACAGTTTTAGAGTCATAAATATTTAGTTCTCTATACGGGTTAACTGATATCAATACTGGACCAATGTAAGTCTGAAAAAGTATAAATATTTGTTTTAGTAAATAAATTAAAACTGCTCTATATCATTTAGTTATATTATGTCCCATACTTTGTTATAAACTTATACTACTACATATTTGACGATATTTGGTGAATAATTAATGTTTTTTAAATCTTAAAAAAAACCAAAAATAAAATCAAAAGAGATATCAAATTGAAATAAACGAACATTATTTACTAGGCGAATGATGTAATACTTGTAGCAGACTATTACGACAAAGCTTCATACTATTACGAACATGCATTCAGCGTGGCCCGTGTAACGGTTGCATCTCGAAGCAGCATCTCGGGCTTCGAGAACATTCGCGATGTATGAGCGCCAAACAACGAATTAGAGGTGGGACTACCCCAGAAGATTCGAGAATAATACTTTTTAGTATATGTAACGATGTTATGAGATTTTACCCTGCATTTTGCAGGGTAAAATTAAAGGAAAAAGAGCCCCAGGATGAAGAAGAAAATCCTGGCTTGCTAACCTGAGAGCATGGCATAGAAAGACCTCAATACAGCTATTCCATATAGCAACCAACAAAATCATCATAGCCAGAATGATCGCCAACGTTCAGAATGGATAGGCACCCTAAGAAGAAGAAGGAATAAATCTGCATGGGACATGCATGGAAGAGTTTGAAACATATTATTCATAAACAAAATTTAAAATCCACGCTATGATGTAAGTATTTATGAGGTATTTTTGAGGTAAATTCATGATAAAATATAAACTAATGATACAATTTACTATGGAAAAAGAATGTAGCAACTCACTATCCTTTCTAGATACTGTTATATCAAAGGAAGATATGGGATATTCAATTAATGTATACAGAAAACTAACAAACACATTTTCCGCACTAACATAGCTAATATATATATCAAGAAAAATCCTAAGCGTTATAGATGACTCTACAAAGTCGAAAACTCGCCATAGCCTCCTTCGATATCTCATTTTTTTTATTAATATTTATTTAATCAATACAACATATAATATTAAATCATACTAAAACTAATTTTTTACGGACAAATTAAAAAGACTTACATAAATAACATCTTCTTTAAATCTCTTTTGTAAATTATCTACAAAAACATCTTGATTAGTGAAGTCTTCTAATAAAACTGCATCTTGTACTCCCACTCGGTCTCGTTCATAAAGCTGGTGTTCCATTTTTTATCTGAAATAAGAAATTATAGTCAGTAAACTAATATAAAACGGTAATACGACAATTTAAATTTACTATCAGACAAATGCAAGAAAAGTATTGGGAATATAATAAAGAAGTACACCAGATCTTCATAGATTTCAAACAAGCATATGATTCCATAGATCGCTTAAAACTGTGGAGTGCAATGATGGAGTTAGGCGTACCAAAGAAGCTGACCATGATTGCGCGAATGTGTGTCAACAATTCTTTTGCACAAATTAGAATAGGAGGCAAAACTTCAAAGGCTTTCGTCATAAGCACCGGGCTCAGACAGGGAGACCCGCTGTCCCCATTACTATTTAACCTAGCATTGGAATACGCAATGCGAAAAATCTATACCAGAGTCCAGCCAGACATAACTGCCAGAGGAGCAAAGATTATTCTCGCATTTGCAGCTGATGTAGATGCAGTAGCACAGACAACACTGGAAGTTAAGGATATAGTATCGAACTTTGAAGAAGCAACACTAAGCGTAGGCCTGAAAATAAACGAAGAAAAAACTAAATATATGGTCGTATCAAAAAAGGAGCGACAGCGAATAAGACAAAACATTACCATAAATGATCATAATTTTGAGGTGGTCAAACAATTCAAATACCTAGGAGCAACAATTACCAGTGAAAACACAGGAGAACGGGAGGTTGAAATACGAATACTGGCGGGTAATAAATCATTGTTTGCCATTCAACATCTAATGAGGTCAAAGCTTCTCTCAAGGCGTGCCAGAATCCAAATGTACAAAACCATAATACGACCAGCAGTGACATATGGAAGTGAAACATGGACATTGAGAAAGAAAGAAATCAATAAGCTATTAGTATGGGAACGCAAAATCCTGCGAATTATATATGGTCCTTGCAGGGATAGCGTGACAAATGAATGGAGGAGCAGATACAACAATGAAATAGAGACTCTCTTCGGAAAAGGAAACATCGTAAGATACATAAAAGCCAATAGATTAAGATGGGCAGGCCACGTGTTACGGAGTGATGACGACAGACTGATTAGCAATGTGTTTTGGGAAAGACCAGATAGTAAAAGATCGACAGGAAGAAGGCCTAGAAAAAGGTGGAAAGACGCAGTCAGGGAAGACCTGGAGAAGATGGAAGTAAGGCCATGGGAAATAATAGCACAGGATTGGAATCAATAGAAGGCAATAGTAAACGCGGCAAAAACTCACGAAGAGTTGTAAGAGCCAATGATGATGATGATGACAATTTAAATTATTTATTTCTTCTGTTTCTTGAGTTCACGTTGATGCTTCTTAGTATGTCATGGGTATCCAGACGTGTTTTTACACGAAATTTTTGTTTTACTTTTAAAGATGTTAAAAGTGCTGTCAACAATTTTCAAAAAGGGGGAATAGTAGTTAAGTAGTAGAATGCTTCTGATCGGAAATATTGTTCATATAAAAAAAAATAGTTGGCAGAAGTTGTCACGATGACAAGCCAATATTAATGTTGTACAGAATTGTTTTTTCATTGCATGAATAAAAAATCTCTTGAGTTATTGCGTAACAAAAATTGTTGTGTTTACCCCTTTGTTGTGTCCTTTAAGGTCTCGCTGATTTGTTTCAAACGCTCTGTGAAAGATTCAAGGATATACAGGTTTTGAAATTTAGTAGTGTTTAGTTTAGTTAGTTTCTTCTTCTTCTGGTTCCTATCCGTTTCGGATGTTGGAAATCATATTGGCAATCATAACCTTGCTCGCTGCGGCTCGAAACAGCTCCGTTGAGGTTTTCTTAAACCATGTTCTTAAATTCCGCAGCCATGATATTCTCCTTCTACCGGGTCCTCGCTTACCTTTGACTTTACCTTGCAATATAGACTGTAGCAGGGAGTAACGGTGCTGATTTCTCATAATGTGTCCCAGATATTGCAATTTTATGCGTTTGATCGTAAACACAATCTCTGGTTCCTTCTTCATTTTTCCTAGAACTTCTTTGTTCGTGATCCTTGCTGTCCATGATATTCTCAGCATTCTTCTATAAAGCCAAATCTCAAATGCTTCGAGTTTTTTAATAGTGGTGTCTGTACGCGTCCATGCCTCCGCCCCGTACAACAACACAGAGAAAACATAGCATCTCAAATGTCTCATTTTTGTATCAAGGGATATGTTGTGACTTTTGAAGATGGCGCTCATTTTGTTAAAGACCGTTCTTGCCTTTCCTATGCGGCACTTTATTTCCTGTAAGTTGCTCCACTGTTCGTTAATAATAGTTCCCAGGTAATAATACTGTTTTACTCGCTCTATCTGCGTCCCATTAATGTATAGATGAGCCCCGTTTATATTCTCCTTGCTGATAATCATTTGTTTCGTTTTGTGGGTATTAATGTTTAGTCCGTACTGTTGAGTGTACTCGTTTATTCTGTCCATTAGCCTCTGAAGTCCCTCTAAACTATCTGATATCACCATGGTGTCGTCGGTATATCTAACATTGTTTACTCTGTCACCATTTAGTATTTTTATGTGATCTGTTTCTTCTCCGTTAATTTTCATGTATGCGGTCTGATTCCAGTAGAGTTCTGAAATTATTCTGAGGTCTTTGTCATCCAGGTCTGCCTCTTTTAAAATGTTTATCATCTTTTGATGTTGAACTCTTTAGTTAGTTTAGTTTAGAAGTATTTTGGTTATGTGGTTAGATATTTAGTAAACACTGCTCTTAAACGAAGAGCAGTCGTTCAATTCAATCAATATAATGATTTTTTGAACATAATTTACAACCCCAGTCTGTTGTATAGATTGAAGGGACACTTAAATCCCCTACACACACCCAACTTTGGTGACCGACAATGTTAAGCCCGGCGGTTGGTGTGTATGTAGGCTTGTTGATAAACAAAAAGGTTGTAGCCGACGACGGTCGGGTACACCGGTCTGGCTGTGCATTGTGCAACCTTGATATCCCGACAGCCAACTTCTCCACGCAAAACCTGTCGAGTCGTAACGTATGTAGCGTTGTTGACCACCTCCGACTTTGAGCTCCAACCCCAACACGAATCAGTTAACACCTGGTAGCCGTTTGGAGTGTTCAGTCCATAAAAATGTTTCAAATTCCGACAGATGAGAAAACCATGATTAAGCAATTGCTGGAAAGCTTCAAAACTTCCCGCTGTTTGTGGGATGTTCAGTCTGATGCTTATTCAAACCAAGATAAGAGGAATGATACAATTCGTTTCTGGAAATCAACAATTTACTCAAATTCAACGTGTTCAATTTTGAAAAAGAAACGGAAGAATCTGAGAAATGTGACTGTAGTAATGGTTTGAACGTGTGTAGCAACAGGGATGGTCGCAAAGTTCAGACTTCTCAGATAGCATTGTCGGGACGTGTGTACACCTTTTTAAAAGTACAATCTCCCGTTGTCTGGTGAGGTACCTGTTGACATAGGTGTCTGTCACAAGACAGTTATTGTATTTCAATTAATATTTCCTTATTTTTTTTTAAATCTGATGTATCAAATTTACTCTTTATATTTAAAACTCTAGATTTATGAAAACATTAAAAATGAGTATTAAAAATACATTTATGTATGATTATTTTTTGGGATATATAAAAAAGTGACGTAAACGTATATTACAGAAATATTATCAAACCTTTCATTACAGCAGTTGATAGTCAAATTTTCGATATCAGGTAGTTCTAGAAAAAAAGTTTATCGTCATGGAAGTGGTTAATGATGTCAGAAAATGTATTTTTTATCATAAATTACCTAATTTGTGCATAATTTTGTGATATAATGAATTGAAGCAAATATTAGTTAAGATATTAGTTTTCTTTTGTTGCTTTATATTTGAGATAGATATTAGATCCTAAATGGATTTCCCATCCCAAAAAGATGGGAAAGGAGAGAAAGAGAGAAAAAATCGATTCACAGGATAGTTTCAATTTAAAAATGAACTAAAGTTAGATTACAAAAAATTGAAAACAAAAGCAAAATTTATTTGCAATCATTAATAAACTCCAAAATAGAAATTAAATATTTTGAAGACCGATAAATACCAAGAAATTTAGAATCTGTACGTAATTTTATATCAAAGAAATAATGTTTGATAATAATATTAAAAAAGTCTAATCTAGTTCTATACTGGAACTTTGATCTTGATAATTTTAAAGTATGGCATCGTTTTATACTTTACAATTCTTTGAAAGGAACTCTTATCGTGAGATTCACTAGATTAATGACATTTTATTATAGTTTGGACAGATGTAACTTTCTCATTATTGTTTGCAATACAATTGTATGCGACATTTTTGTAGATAACTAGATATAACCTACCTAAATAATAGAGTGGCGCACCCAGAATTTTCCTGTGGGGGAGGGGGGTTTGACTGGGCACCGAAATATTTTTATGCTGCCTCCACCATTTTAAGTCCTTAAAATTTGTTGCTGGATGGATGATGATAAGCAAAAAGCAACTTGCTAGACAATTACGAATAAGTAACATACTAATTGACCATGTAGAATCTTATGTATACCTTGGCACCAACGTAAATGCAAAATGAGAACAGACCATAGAAATTAAGGCGAGAATAGAACGAGCTAGAGCAGCATTTAGCAATATGAAAAAGCTCCTCATAAGCAAGGATTTGTCTCTTCCCCTAAAACTACGTCTAGTTAAATTCTACATTTTTCCGATCTTGCTGTATGGCGTGGAGGCCTGGACGCTGACGGAGACGCTAACGAGAAAACTAGAAGCATTCGAAATGTGGGTGTACCGACGCATTCTTCGTATATCCTGGACCGAACATGTCACCAACATAGAGGTACTCCAAAGAATCGGAAAGGAGAAAGAAATCGTGAATATAATTAAACAAAGAAAGCTTAAATATCTAGGCCACATATTAAAACACGATAAGTACCGTCTGCCACAATTAATTGTCCAGGGAAAAATAGACAGTAAGCGAGGGCCAGGCAGGAGAAGACACTCGTGGCTCCAAAATCTGCGGAAGTGGTTCGGGCTCA